CTAGCAAATAGCAGGTTGGATGCCATCGCTAGTAGGGTGGAGGCCATCGCTCATAGGTTGGAGGCTGTCGCTCGAAAGGCAAGAAAGCAATCGCCATATGATTCCAAATTTGCAATATTTCGCCTTTGAGGAGGCACTGATCCAGCCCACCAGGCCCTTCTTGGAGTCTGGAGCAAAAATGATCCTGCAGCTTCTTGTTCCTAGTAGCGAGGCCAGGAGCCCCTAGTAGCATCCTTGCTCCTAGTGGAGTCGGAAATTACAAGTGCAAGAACTGAAGTCGGAGACGCGAAGCTTCAAGATGCTTCAAGGCAAGCCACTCCAGTCTGCGAGGATATTTCTTGGATATCGCAACGACCTTGGCAAGCTTCCCAAAGTCTTAACGCACCTGAACTCCGGAAATGTTCCAATTCTGCTGGTGTTTGCTGATGTTCCGAGATTGCTAGCACCAGTGCTCCATAGTGTTCCTCATCATATTGACATTAGTTGAGTGAATTGTAGGATGAAAAATGGTTCAGCTCATTAAACCAACTGTATAGTTAGCTAATTACTAATTCCGCTTAAGCGCCCCTTTCACTCAAATCCAAGCTGCACGCACTCGGCTGCCTGGAGCCAAATCACCAACCACTTCACTACGCAATGACTCTCCACTTCGAACGATAGAGCCACGGCCGCTGATGACCTCCACCTCGCCTTGCGATTTGACATTCGAATCCCGTCATCCGGTTTCATTGTCTGTGCAGAGATCTTATGAGATCTTGCAAATAACAAAAACATGTCGCTTCTGGAGAAAGATCGGGGCATGGACCAAATCAATCATCATGGAACATGAGAGCATCTTTTACGATGTATGATGAGTATTTACTGAGTCACTGCCAATGGGTACAGCAGCTTGTCCAGCTTTTGGCTGAAGCACCGCCGAAAGACTTGCCGAAAGCGCACCACCTGCATCGAAGATAAGGCGAAGCACAAAGTCTCGTGTTTCGCAATGCATGTCTTGGTCGAAGCAAAACAGCTGTTCTTGCAAGAAGTGTTCCTCGCTTCCACGTCCCTTCAGTCTCTCTTTCATTGTCGCTAACCTGCATCAAATAGGCCACGTGCAACTTGCTTGGACAAAGCATCTCGTAGTCCGTCGTGATGCCTTGTTGCACGCAACAATGCCGACCGACGGACCAAGTGGTTGGCAGTAAAGCGACACAAGCCGGAGACTAAGAACAATAACCACTTGAACATTACAATTGCAAAGTGTAAATTGCAAAGTGTCAGAAGGAAAGCCATAGCTAGGCGAAGGCAAATTCTTTGTCAGTGGTATAGTATAGATTAGTGGCGCTACCACATACATTGATGGTGTGTTGCGTGTCAATGTTTGTGGCTTGCGGCCCAAACAGCGGAGTAGGCAGACTGGGATAGAATGTGAAAACAAGGTGTGGCAGGCTTTGCAAATCTTCCAAGTTCTAAAGCTTCACCTCCAGGCACATCGCTATTGTTTTGCTACTAGTAAACAAGTGCCACGCTTCTAGGAACAAGTGCATCGCTAGTAGTAACAAGAAGCTACTAGGAGCAAAGGGCATCGCTACTAGGAACAGGTGCCTTACTAGTAGTAACAAGAAGCTACTAGAAACAAGTGCCACGCTACTAGGAACTAAAGCTTCACCTCCTGGTGCATTGTTTGTCATTGGTTTGTCCACTATTAGGCTGGAGGCCATCGCTTGTAGGTCTTGTGCTAGAGTTGATCTTTGCAGTTAGTGTGTTGTGGTGGGTCCGTTTGCTCGTTTGCGGAGATTGATCTCGTTGTGCACAAACAAACAATGAGCGCTGGTGTTCCCGTCCCACCTTTTCTACACACATTGTGCATTCAAAACCACTTAGGAAATCTTTGTACACTTAAAACCGTTCGCTGTGCCATAGTAGTCAAAGGCAATGTCCTCATCCTCCACAGTCCACGGCCCTGCGGCAAAGTATTCCAGTACAAAAGCAACGACCATGTTGATGCTCAGGTCTTTGCCAGGGCAACAGTATGAATAAGGATGATCTTTCTTGCCATCCACACATGCAAACTCGCCCCAGGCAATAGAATTGGAGGAGCCTCCAGACTCCTCAGAACAAAACAACATCAGGAAATTATTGCAAATGAAATGAACCAAATAGACTTTGCAGCAAACAAACACAAACTAAATATCGAACAAAGTGTGACAATAGCTTCAAGAAAATGAAGGCTCCGTGCTCCCTTGCCCTGGACGATCCAGTTTGAAGATGTCAGGGTCTTCAAATATTGAAGGGTCGGCAAGAGCTCGATCCTTAAGTGAAATGAGAAGAATTGCTGCAGATTGCTTCCCGGAGCCCTCGTGTCTCACACCCTACAGTACCTAGGGTTTCAGTGTAAATCAATGTAAATCATACAAACACATGACACATGCTTCAAAAAATAGAGTTGGTTTGTAGCGCTTTATCCATGGCTCAATGCACACTGCTTCTGGCTCCCACTTGCCTTGACCTGTTGCCGTATCAGGGCTCTTCACCCAGTAGGGCAGCGTTGTCACCAGGGGATGGAATCGCATGGCCTCCATCATCAAGCGGCGGACGTTTTCCTCCTGCTTGAAGTCTACTCCCAGGATTGACTCCTCACAGAGGCAAAGCAAGCGTTTTGAGAGGTTTGAACACCTGTGTCAACTGCATGTCTGTTTGACACACCGAACACCACCGCTCCGGCTTGTTCTTTGTAAGTATGTAGCCCATGACCAAGTCGATGGAGACGGGAACCGAGCGGCCCCCAGCGAACATTACAGCATCCAGGAAAACGGAGCTCAGCAAATCCAACCTGCACAATGGAGCAGAATGGCCTCCAACCTAGAAGCAACTATAGTAGCGTCCTTGCTCCTATATTAGACCTTTCTTCCATTTCTCTTTTCTTTGTTTCAAATAGCAAAGGCCTCCATCCTAATAGCGATGGCCTCCAACCCCGCTGCAAAAGCTATGCGGAGCTATGCAGAGCAGCTCTGCTTTGATTGCTCCGGAATTAACAGAATCTATCGGTATCCGTATGTTGTTCCTTCAATCAAACAAGGAAAATGTTGCTTTAATTTCCAGAAGCTTCTTGTTGGTCCACTCAACATTTGGCCAACGCTTTCTTATGAATGGCCGATACCTTGGAAAGCACATTGAGCAAGTGGTGGAAACTTCGAACACAATCCAAACACCATCGAAATCATTCGTTGTTGGGCGTTGCAGCGCCACAATCTTTCAGCGAACTCAACCAAGATTAAAAACATAAGACCAAAACACCTCTGGCACTGCATTCCAAGGCACTTGGCGATGAACCTTGCACGAGTGATGAGATTGGGGTTTGTGAAGAATGCCCACATAAGAAACATTCTGGCGACCCTGGAGGTAGCGCCAGCTACCACAAGGTTGACTGTTTGTAAGGCCGCGAGATCTTGCATCTCAGAGTCCGTCAAATCGATGTCTAGTGCCACTTTGTGCAAAATCTTCACAGTCCACTGAGTTACGATATTCTTGCTCAACGAGGGGAAGAAGGGCTCGCGACTTCCACGGTGCCCAGTCCGATTGTTGTGATCCAAGACGGACACCTCAGCGAAAAGACCCCGGAACTGACTTCGCAGAGAAGCCGGAGTCCACGAACTGCTGCCAAACATCTCGGCCAAAAATGGCCGGACAAAGGCATGGTCTTCACTCTTTAGTCCCAAACTCATTCTTCCTGCCTCAGGCCATGACAAGTTGTTGAAGAACCCCAATGCCAATTGACTCTCTCGCCAGGCAGTGCCACTAGAGATTCTAGAGCCAAGTTGTTGCAACTTCTCTTTGCAGCTTTGATGGCTATAGTACAATTTGGAGTTTGCAAAGCTCCCAATCGACTTGTCTTCAGTTGCAATGTCCTCAAACCATTTGCCATAGTCACTGCGCCAGGTTGTGGTTGAAGCAGCATACATAAAACTCACCAGCAATCGAAAGTAGTTTTGGTAAGTCATGGTAACACCAAGTATGGTGAACTGCGTGACGCCAACATTGTCGTAAGGTTCTGGATCAAAGACAGAGACGGGCCAAATGAGGATCAGGATGCCAAGAAGGGGAACACCGAGAGCAATTGCTAAGGACGACTGAAAGCTGAGACCTGTCAGAAATGGAAACGCCAGAATCACTGAGACCACTGGCGCTAGAAGAATTACAAGAACGATCAATACGGCCACTGACTTCCAAAAGCAGCTTCCACTGGAGCTGGGCGAGGTCGGTGCTACAAGTGGCTCTCGTTCGGTCGAGCGGTCAGTGCGATCCGTGTCCAGCATGTTCTATGTCCTCTCTGTCCGTTTGGACAGCTCGAGCCTTTGTTCCATGAGTGATCCTGTTACCTTCTCTTAGCGGTCGTCTAAGTGATAACAAAACAAAACAGCTGTCCGTTTGCATTGCGAAAACTTGGGGCTGGACATGGAGCCCATCTCCCTGAGCTGGTCTTCCAGGATCTCAATCTGTTCCTGCTTGGCCGCACTGCACCAAAAGCAGGCATGTTGCACCATGTGTCTCATCATGGATCCCCTTCATGCAATCAACCAACGATGCAAGGGCTTCTTCAAGGAAGACCCCCCCGCCCTCAGTACACTTACTACCTATAGCTTACTTATGACCCCTCCTCTTGCCGGCCTACCCCCCTAAGGCCCCTAATAAAATGCAACTCCAATTTCACTTTCATTTGAACACAAATTTCCAATACTCTTCCTTTCTTGCCTGCTGACGTTCGACTTGCTCCCGAAGGGCCATCTTCTCGGAGACCAAGTGAGCGACCTGCCGAAGCGACGCCGGCTGAGCGAAGCGAACGTCTGGCAACCAACATCTGTCCGTGCGGGCATATGATGGCGTGCTCCAACCGTAGCTCACGTCTTGGTCATTGGTTCTCCAAATTTTTCCAAGTTCTTTTAGACTTCAATGAACATATTGTGACAGGAGCAGTGATTGGGATCTCAGTACATTTTCATTTCGATAGATCTATGGTGCACTATGGTACATTGCAAGTAGGTTGGAGGCCATTGCTAGTAGGTTGCAGGCCATTGCTAGTAGGTTGGAGGCCAT